CAGGAGTGCCACAAATGGGATGGCTGGTTCTACCAGAGGAAGGCTTTAGAGAGAAGTTGAAAGACAAGGGAAAGGAGTTTTCTAGTGGAGAAGAGGCAGTGGGCTCTGGCACTGAAGTCCCTGCAAAGCCAGGGAAGGATGTAGTTCAGAGCCAAGTCATCGGAAGCGGCATGTTGTTCTGTGAGTTCAGGGCCCAGTAAACCTGGGGGTGCAGCCCAGAATCCAGTGATGAGACTAGCAAGATGGAGTGTAGTCAGATTGGACAGGACCTCACAGGCCTCACGCAACAGTTTGGACTCTAATGTATTGGTAATAAGAAACTTGGGAAGTGTTTAGGCAGGAGAATAACACAGTCAAATCTGTTTTCAAAAGGTAGAATGTAGTACTTATCTGTAGGAATGAAAGAGGAAACTGAACTAAAACCGTCTTCCTTGAAATGAACTGGAAAGTGAAACAATACTAAAATAATTGCTTTGAACCTAGAGAGAAAATGAGAGAAGTATTAACATGCCTCCCCCTTTCCCTCCTAGTGTTCTCCTGGGAAAAGGTTCTGCTCAAGTTCTTTGTGGGGCCAAATGGGTACGACTTCTAACTAGCAAGTCCTGAAGGTTCTAGAAATGTTTTGAGCTAGATAATGGCTTGGTTTGCTAAAAAACAATACTCTTTTGGATTTACATGTTCCAATTTATAACAACAAGAAAAAGTTGCATTACTTATAGTATCATTTTATGCATATGAATAATAAAGAACCAAAAGATATGGACAATATGTACAAGAAATAAGCATTTCTCCTGATACCAAAAACAAGGCAACAAAAGAAAAAGTAGATGTATTTGACTTCATTAAAATGTAAAACTTCTATGCTGCAAAGAGCACCATAAATATGTACAAGGTTTATGTCAATTAATTAAAGTTAAATATTGTTTAAAAAGTAAAAAGACAAACCATGCTATGGGAGAAAATATTTGCTAATCATATATTGGTAAGGGCCTAGTATTCAGAATATATAAAGAACTCTTACAACAAAACAAAAATAGCAAGTAACACTAAAAGTGAACAAAGGATCTGAACAGATATTCTCCAAACAAGATACACAAATGGCCAATAAGCACATGAAAAGATGTTCAACATTACTAGTCACCAGAGAAATGCAAATCACAACCATAGTAAACACTAATTCACACCCACTAAGATGGCTATAATAAAAAAGATAGACAAGAAGCATTGGCAGGTTGGTGAAAAAAAATGGAGCACTCATTTGGCTGGTGGGAATGTCAAATGGCACAGATGCTTTGGAAAATAGTTTGGCAGTTCCTCAAAAGTTTAAACAGAGTTATCATGTGGCCCAGCCACTCACTCTTGGATATATAACCAAGGAAATTGAAAACATATGTCCACACAAAAACTTGTGCATGAAGGTTCATAGCAGCATTAGCCAAAGAGTAGAAATAACTCAAATTTCCATCAGCTGAAAAATAGAGCAATAAAATGAGGAATTTATCTGGAATATTATTCAGCCATAAAAGTGAATAAAGTACTAACACATACTATAAGATGAATGGACCTTGAAAACATCAGGCTAAGTGGAAGAAATCAGTCATGTACTCTAAGATTCCGTTTATGTGAACTGTCAAGAACACGCAAAGCCATAGAAACAGAAAGTGGCTGGGGGCTACAGAAAGGGGAGGGCAGATGGTGAGTATGAGTACTGGGTTTCTTTGGAGGGTGAAGAAAATGTTCTGCAATTAGTATGATCATCGCTTAACTTGTAAATATACTAAAAATCATGTCATGGTACACTTTAAAAGAGGAGATTTTATAGTATTTGAATTATATCTCAAGTTTTAAAATTTGCCTTTAAAAAGAAAAACTTTAAAAGAAGACAAGCTGTAAGTTCCAACATATTTAAAAAATTTTTTTCCTTGCAAAATTAGAAAGTAGTTAATTTGTTCTTTTCAGAACAAATATTTTGCTGTACTTTGTTAAACAAATGCTATACATTTTTAGATTTTTCTTTCATTCTAATTAGGTCAGGAGGGAGTTAAAAACAGCTGAAGGATAATCAGAGAGAAATGGGAGCGGACAGTCGTCCCTAGACAGGGAGAGCGGCACAGAGGGTGGAAGGATCAGGAACAGAGACATGGGGCAGAGGAGATGAAAACGTGAGACATGCACAGGACACAGGGGAGGGGCTGCAGAGCCTGAAGCCACAGGGTGCCCTTGTGGCAGCTCTTAGTCCTTTTTTTTTTCCCTTCTGTTACTGGGGATTGAACTTGGGGCCTTTGTACTGAGATACATCCCCAGACCTTTTTGATTATTTTTCTTTTGAGACAAGGTCTTGCTAAGTCACTGAGTTGCCCAGGCTGGATGAACTTGCAATCCTCTTGCTTCAGCCTCCCACTATGCTGGATTACAAGTGTGCACCACCACACCTGGCTTCATGCTTAGATTCTTTTAGGGGAAACACCTAGGAAGTTCTGCCCCGATGACCTAGAATAATGAAGGACTCTGAATCTTTTCTGGGCCAGCCTCTATCACCCAGCCTAATGTCTCTGAGATGCTCTTGTATGCATATCAGCCCTTGTGATTGCTGAGTTGTATTCCTCGTACACTAAGCACCATTGGACTTTACAGAGTTTTGAAGGTCAGGAATGCAGGACCCAGACAGGAATGAAGTCCAGATCAAAATCCAGAATGAGAAGAAGGGAGTGCCTCCACAAATGGAATTTAATGCACTGTGAGAGGGTGTGGCGGCATGACCGGAAGGACCAAATAGAACTGTGCTTGCTCCAACCTGTTTCCAGATCTGATCAGATCCCAGCCAAGAGGAAGTGAGGCAGTTTGTCAAGTCAGTGTTATGACTGGGGAGGTGCAGGAGGCTCAGAGAAAGGCACTCGACTGCTGGCATTTTCTGCACTGGACCCTTGAAGAGGTTAGCAATTGAGCAGTGACCCAAATTATTAGTAAGTGCAAAATGTCTTAGATCAAATGAGAAAAAGGACTTGATACCGTTTCTTAGACTATAAAGTTAAAATCAAAGGCAAGATTTTCTTTTTCATCCGAGACCACCTCAAGATGTATTTTATGCTTAGATTAAAATTAAAGATTACTGATCTAGAAAAAAAAAAAAGGGTGGAACAATTAGAAGAGGTCGCACAGTGATATAATCAGCAGCTGCGTGTACCTCTGTAGGAGGAGACTTCAAAGTTGTTGGACTGGGATAAATCCCACAGAACTAGCTCTGTGACTCGGACCCCCAGCATCACTCCTTCCCATGCCTAGGTTGACAATGGAAGCTTTCTTTCCCTTTATCACTATGCAGCTATTTTGTATCAAGCTGCTACCCTGTCAAGAATCCCACGGTATTTCCAGTCTGGATGGACCTTAGAACAGTAGTCTAAAGAATCTTGACTTTAAGAATAAACTCTTATGGGCAGGGATTGAGATCAGCGGTTCCATTGCCTGCCTTGAAAGTGCAAGGTCCCAAGTTTAATTCCCAGTACCAAAAAAATAAATAAATTCTCTGTAGCCCCTCGCTGCCCTCGGTGTGGGCTACAAGTTGGCCTTTCCCAATCACCTGGAAATTTGTTAGACATGCAAATTCTACCCACATTCCTACTGAGTTAGAATACGCATGTTAACAAGATTCTGAAGGTGATTTTTATGCACATCAAAGTCTGAGAAGCCCTAGTCTCAATGGGTGGTTTTGCAACTTTGAAGTACACCAGAATCACCTGGAAGATGCTGGGGCTGGGGCACTTGGTACAGGACAGAGCCTGAGAACCACAGCTCTAGATAATCACATGGAGATGCCACAAATCCTTTCCCCTTATGGACTGTGATGGAGAATCCCCTGCCCTCCAGAAGCCCAAGAGGCGAATCCAGGAAAGCTAATCTCCACAGGGCCTGTGACCAGGCCCTCTTCCCTCAGGTTGTTTTAGTATCACCACCTGCTTAAACAGAGCTGTGGACAAGAGGTTCCAGGGCCTCTGTACCAAAGCCAGAGTAAATGGAATGTGTTTTTCCCACCTTTAAAGCAAACAGAGCCTGAGGGGCTGCTACTGAGAACTCTGAAACCAGGAGGGGGACAGGTTGGTGACCCAGCCCTGGCCCTTTTCTGGAGTGTTATTTATTTTTGTTAATTTATCATCATTATTAGTATTAGTATTGGTATTTTTAAGACAGGGCCTCCTTGTGTAGCACAGGCTGGCCTTGAATTCAAGATTCTCCTGTCTCAGCCTCAGTGCTGAGATTACAGATATGTGCCACTATGTCCCGCTCTGGAATGTTCTTTATAAAGATTCTTTAAATCCACAGCTTTTAGGGGGAAAGGTGCTGGGAAATGGAGCCCAGGGCCTTATGAATACTGGGCAACTTAGCAAGACCTTATCTCGTAAATGAATGGATGTTTGGGGATGTAGCTCAGTGGTAGAGCACTTGCCCAGTATAGTTCAGACTGGCCTTGAATGCATGGCAATCCTCCTGCTTCAGCCTCCCAAGTGCAAGGATTACAGGTGTGCACCACCATGCCCAGTTTAACTCCTGAAATCACAGTTATTTGAAGACTTCAAGGGGAGAGTGTGCTGAGGAAGTGCTGTAATAAAGAATTTCAGCTGAGTGTGGTGGTGCATGCCCACAATCCCAGCACTTGGAGAGACTGAGGTAGGAGGATCCTAAGTTCAAGCCCAGCCCGGGCAATTTAGCAACTTGGTGAAATCTTGGCTCAAAATTAAAAATTAAAAACAAAACAAAACAAAACAAAAGGCTGAGGATGTAATATGGGCCCTGGGTTCAATGCTCAGTACCATTAAGAATAAATCCAGTTGAATTTGAACACCTAGCATCTACTCTCATAAAGGTGCAGTCCTATTGGAATTGTGTGTAGGCATGAGCATGTGGAATAAGCATTAATGAATCAGTATGTCTTAGTTACTTTCTCATTGCTGGGATGAAATACCCAACACCCACAAATTAAAGGAGGAAAGCTTTACTCAGCTCACAGTTTGTAGAGGTTTCAGTCCAGAGCTGGCTGGCTCCAAGGCAGGGTAGCATGGCAGAGGAGAAAGAGCTCATGGCATGCCAGGAGGTAGAGAGCCGTCAAGGGAGGAGAAAGGATATACATATACATGTCATCTTCCAGGCCACGCCCACAGTGACCCACCTCTTCCCATCAGGCTTCACCTCCCAACATCACACCCAGCTATAAACCCATCAGAGGACTAATCCAGTGTCACACATGATCCAACCACCTTCTAAAAGTCCCGCCTGTGAGTGCATGAGGCTTCAGGGGACACCTAGATCTAAGACCTATGACTGAGTGTGTGTTGGGGGATGCACTGGCTCATGCACCTGAGACACCGCTAGAGCCCAGGAGCACCTGCAGATTCTATCTGAGCTTGGGCTGCTCCATACCAAAGCCCCATTGACTGCTCTCATGGAGACCTGATACCAGACCAGGTGTGAGGAGGTCCCCAAAGCAGAGCTGGGGAACCCTGACTCATCTGTCCCATGGGACAGGTTGCAGGTTCGCTGACTTCTGTCACAGGAAAAGAATTTTCAGGCCAGGGATTTAGCTCAGTAGTGCCACCACCTGCATCACAAGTGCAAGGTCCTGAGTTTGATACCTGATACCAAAAAAAAAAAAAAAGTTTCACCATTCATCAGTAAAAGGCATAAAGGGATTTATTGGGCAGAATTTAAAGTACACACTCAAAGTGGAACTGAGGATATTTACTTATTTAGGGGTGATGAAATCTGTGGAATTTGTGAATCTATACAAAGTTTGGGCTTGGTTTACAGGAGAAAAATGATAGCTCATCTACCCTCAGGAATAAAGGAAAGGGCTCATTTCACAGGGGAAAGCACAGCCCATTTTAAAGGAGAAAGGTGGGAGCCCAGACCATTGTATTTCTGCCTTCTGCCTTATCAACTGAGTTGATTTGTGGATTTAAAATATCTTTAAGGGATTTGGCGTGTGACAGGCCTGGAAGAAAAGAAACATAAATGATCCTAGATAGTATGGATATGGAGAACCTTGGGTAACTTTGGGTCCTGAAGTTTGCTGTCTTCTTATAAGCATTGTTTGTTTGTTTGTTTGAGACAGGGTCTCACAATGTAGTTCAGACTGGTCTTGAACTCACTGTTTAGCCCAGGCTAGCCTCAAACTTTTGGTGATCTTCTTGCCTCAGCCTCCCAAGTGCTGGGATTATAGGCATGTGCCACCACACCCAACTAAAGTACAATTTTTAAAATATTATTTTCTTCATCTCCTTTCTACCTATCTTTATTGCTTTTTACCTCAGGTCAGGAAATCACACCTAGAAAACTAGCAAAAGAAGGACAGTGAATTGTGGATTTCAAAAATCACTGCTGGTTTCAAAAATCTAAGTTTTTGCTTATATTTTAAATTTTTTTTTTTTTTTTGTAGCGGGGATCGAAATCAGGACCTTGTGCTTTTGAGGCAGGCGCCAGAACCACTGAGCTAAATCCCCAGCCCTTAAATTATTTTTTTTAAAACTTTATCAAAACTCTGATTTTTTAAAACACAAAAGAAACATCACCTACCAATTAAGTAATTGTTTCTACTTGTAACTCATGTGAATTCAATATTTATATTTATTTGAAGTACGTGAATTTTTTTATATTTCTTTACTTATTTGTTTGGGTTTTTTGAGACAAGTTCTCACTATATAGTCCAGGCTGGTCTTGAACTCACTATGTATCCCAAGATGACCTCAAACTCAGGATGATCCTCCTAACTCAGCCTCCCAAATTCTAGGATTACAGGTGTGCACCACCACCTAGATTTTTTAAGGACAGCGAGCTTTACATCTAATACTTTATTGCTTTTTCTTTTCCTTTACATAGTTCCATATGTTTTGAAGAGCTGTGCAGAATTTATTGAGACTCACGGCATTGTGGATGGAATCTATCGACTTTCAGGGGTCACCTCAAACATACAGCGACTAAGGTAAGAGAAAAGAACTGAGGAGAAATCTTCTGGGACCCTTGCTCTGTCCACCCCTCCATCGGCAGGGTTCCCAATACCAAAACCCAGAAGGGAAGGGAAAAGTGGCAGTAGAGGTCAGAGGGCTGTTTTCAGATGGCTGATTGTTCTTAATAGAGTGAGAAGGCGCTCAGCCTGACGTGATTCCTTCCAACAAAAGCTCCTGTAGGCTTTTAATCTGCTTCTCATCTCACTCCAGGTTTATCCTCCTGTGGGGGATTTGATTTAATACAATGATCTAAGTTACAACTAAGGAAAACAGGTAGATGAAGTCCCTTGCATAGTTCAGAACTCAGAACTCCGAGGTTCTTGGGAGCTTTCCTGTGGCACATTGGATATTTCATCTAGTCAAGGAATCAGAGGTCTTGTGGACCCTCATTTCTCTGATTGATGCTAGTATTTAAAAATTTATGGATAGATGAACTGTCTCCAGTTCTAGGGATTTGCCTGAAACATTTGGGTGAAATTTCCATCACATGAAATTAAGACAGCAAAAACCATTACACAAAACAAATGTATGTGAGGAGAAAGAGAGAGAATATAAAATAGCTTTCCTATGACTAGAGGAATAGGTTTATGTGTTTTGCATATTATTTTTAACACCCAAAAGAACATAATTTGTTAGTTTTATATGTTTATTATATGTTCTTTATTTATAAATGTAGACTTTTATAATAATAAAAACATTCTTATCATAGTTAATATGTAAAATTTAATAGATGATGCTGATAATTTTCCATCTTCCTCCTATTTGATTTCTGCCCCTCCCCTCCAAATCTCACTTGCAGTTACATTATGCCAAAGGATTAAAGCTTGCTTTCACTCCTGGGGAAGTGGTGACTGTTAAGAAAAATAATGTATGTTGTAAACATAGATTTTAATAAATTTGTGTTTACATAATTTTACTAATTTGCTAGTGCGCCATTTTTAGAGTGTATCTTTTTTTCCGGCTCTGGGGATAGAATCTAGGACCTTCCACACGCCAGCCAAAGTAAATGCCCCATGCTGGCTACTGAATGGCTCTGAGATGTACCACACTGAGACGATACCCTGGAAAGACTGGAGTGGAGGCAAATTCTTTTTCATTTAAGACCTGGATTTAGCCTTGGGGAGGGAAATTTTGAGCTAAATAAATGAATGTTCTGCTCCCTTAGAAAATCATGCACCTGGCCAGGTGCAGTGGTGCACACCTGGAATCCCAGCACTCTAGGAGGCTGAGGCAGAAGGATTGCAAATTTGAGCCCAGCCTGGGAAAGTTAGTAATTAGAGAAATATTATATCAAAAAAAAAAAAAAAAAAAGAGCTGGAGATGTTGCTTAGTACAAAGGCCCTAGGTTCAATTCCCAGTACCAGAAAGAAAAAGGGGGAGGGGCAGACCTAGCAAGCTGTGAATTATTGAAGCCAGGGCATAGCTATCTTTTCAAGGCCATGTCAAGCTGCCTCAGATTCCGGCAGCATCAGGGAACTCCACCCTGCCCCTTCTTACAAAGGCGAGAGCCAGAGCGCACAATGGGCATGGACTCTTTTGCAAACCCTGGTTCTGTGAGTCCTGTTGACTTTGGCACCAGCTTGCTGACCATGTGAATACTCTCAAGAAACTTAACTTCCACTTTGCAGTTCAAGTCTATCATTTATTAAACAGATGTTTAACTTGAGGTGGTAGAATGGGAAACATGTTCTAACACAAATCCAGGCCCAGCCTCAGCTGATGTCCCCAGACATCCCACCACACCTTCCTTAAAACATTTCTAAGCTCCTCTACCCTGTGGGAGCCACCATCAGGCAGCCTGCATGGGCACATGGAGCATCAGAGATTGTTGATGAAAACTCCCTGTCCTGGGGTTTGAGACTCCAGATACAAGTGTGCTGCTATTGTAATATGTGGGTATGCCTGGTAACAATCTCACTCACCCTGGTTTTGGTCTCTCTTGTACAAAAGAGAATCTCATTTTTGAGCAATGTTTCGGAAAAACTGAAAAAAACCTCAATAGGCTTTCTCGGCCAACTGTTTTCATATTTCCCCAATGTTCATAACCAATGCTGTAATATAGTGCCACAAAGAATCTACTTGTAGATGAATTTTATGTCTTTCTAATCACAGCAGATTTTGCAAAGAAGACTCAGACCTTAAGTGAGAGTCTTCCTGTGGCTCCCTTGTCCCTGAGTAGCATCAAGGTCAAAAATGCGGTCTGATGAGTCCTTCGGGGTCTTTTTACCCCTGAGCCGGCTCCCTGGGATTGTTATGTCTCCGTCTGTGTTGTTTCAGGCAAGAGTTCGGCTCTGATCAGTGCCCAGATCTGACGAGGGAAGTGTACCTGCAGGACATCCACTGTGTGGGCTCCCTCTGCAAGCTCTACTTCCGGGAGTTGCCCAACCCCCTCCTGACTTATGAGCTGTATGAGAAGTTCACGGTGAGTGTTTAGATTCCATGATGGTTACCAGGTGGGATGCAAGGATGGGCCAAGGAGAGTTTGAGCACTAAAATAACAATGCTGATACGCACCAGCTGGTTGACATTATCTTAGCGTGGTGATGGAAAGGGAATGGGATTAAGAGGAAAGCAGGGGAGTGGCATTGTTTACCAAGTTTCTGTTTCTTGAATTTTCAGAATTATGTTGTTGTAAGAGCTGAGTAAAATGATCTCCATGTTTATCCCAATGAATGTGCCTTGTTGAATAGGGAGGAAGCTGAGAACCAGAGAAGTAAAGTGGCTGGCCCAAGGTTACACAACAGAGGCAAGGGCAGGAGCACCAGGCCCCTGCTGCTCTACCCACAGCTGAGTCATTTTTATCAGGCTTTTCCTTCTGTGTTCCTTTGGGGGCTAGGGAGAGAGGTAAGTAGGAGAGAAAGGAGACAAAACAATAGTCAATAAACAGTAGTCAAGAAGGTATGTCAGAAAGTTGGGGAAAGAAAAGAAATGGAGAAAAGCAGCCAAGAGGAAGCGCAGGGCAAGCCAGCGAGTTGGGCTGGGAGAAGGAAGCGTGGTCAACCCCAAGACACCTCCACAGCAGCAGAGTGCTCACTGATGGGCACCTGGGGGGAAACAAGAAAGAGAGTCAGTGCTCAAAGGATGTCTGTACAGATAGCATTACAAATACGGCTTGAAGCTCGGTGCTTTGGGAGGCTGAGGCAGGAGGACTGCAAATTTGAGTGCTGCCTGGGCAGCTTATCAAGACAATAACAACAAAATAAACAATGAAAGGGCCGAAGATATAGCTCAGTGGGAGAGCGCTTGCCTAGCATGTGTGAGGCCCTGGGTTCAATCCCTGCCCCCTCAAAAAGAAAAAGAATAAAAATAAGACTTGAACACCTGGCTGCATGAGTAGAAGTACAGAGTAGGCAGAGAGTTGGGTTTAACCAAAGTTGGGGTTCAGTTAGCAAAAGAGAAGGAGGGAAATGTGAGAGTGTACCAGGGCATTTGAGCTAATCAGTCGTGGAATTTAGTCTGGAAATGAGAGCATTAGGCAAATGAGTAACAGTGAAAAGGTAGAGCGAGATAGTGTTCATCCCAGTGAGGTCAGTGGAATGGTGGAGCAGGTGGTGAAACTGAGGTTATGGAGGTGTCACGGTGATTGGCAAAGGACCAGATTGAGGCTGTACTCATGGGGAGGGATTGTTCTCGGGGCTCCTGTAATAAACTTATTTTGAGCATATGAAAGGTTCTTCAACTTGAAATGATATAGGAATAAAAAAAAAGAAATGATATAGGAATAAATGAACCTTACTTCTTAGAAACTGGGCTTGTGTCACTAAAAATATATTTAATACCTGGCATGGTGGCACATGCCTGTAATCCAGCTAAGTGAACCCTCAAGTCACAACCAGCCTGACATACAAACAACTTGGGTTATGACCAGAATTTTAGTTTTAACTTACAACCAAAGTCTTGAGTTATGACCCAAATGCCAGCTGCTTGTGCTTCCAGATAGTCTCAGATACATATTTAACCCTTAAAGAGTCCTTCCCTATATGGGGTTGCTTGATAAATCCCAGGCCAATGTCTCTTTAAGGACACTGAGATCTGCCTCTATACAGGAGAGAGACTTTGAAGGCTGTGTGGAGGAGCCTGAGCCTTCAGTTGACCAACTTGAGTTACAACCAGCCCTCATGAGCAAATTGAGTTTGTAAGTCAAGGGCCCACTATACTTGGGAGGCTCAGGCAGGAAGATTGAAAATCCAAGGCCAGCCTGGGCAACTTAGTGAGACTCTATCTCAAAATAAAATTTTAAAAGGGCTGGAGATGTAGATCAGTGCTCCCTAAGTTTAATCCCCAATACCAAACACATACAGACACACACACACACACACACACACACACACACACAAACACACACAAGAGTTTTTAGTGACATAGGGAAATATTCATAATGATAATGGAAAAAAATGCCAGGGATTTAGCTCAGTGGTTTCGCTGCTTGCTGCGCAAGCCCAAGGACCCAAGTTCTATCCTGGTACCAAAAAATAAAAAGCATTCTTCAATAATGGAAAAAAAGCTTAGATACACAATTGTATATTAGGAAAGAATTAAAAAGAATGTTGGGCTGGGGATTTAGCTCAGTGGTTCTGCCACCTGCCTCTCAACCACCAGGTCCCGAGTTCAATCCCAGGTACCAAAAAAAAAAAGAAGAATGTTCAAACAACTAACATTTCTTTCAATGATGGGCTCATAGATGCTTTTTCTTGCTTCTTTATACATTAACTTTCATAAATCCCTCCCACACACACACACCTACATGTCTCCTCAATGCTATATGTCAGTGATGGTTAACCTTTTTTAGCTTCCAATGATACAAACAGCCCACTGTGGCATGCATGCCATAGGTTGGCCACCACTGGTACATATCATTACTTTGACACATTTTCAGTTGGACACTATGACTGTCCTTCCATGTGAACAACTGTAGAGCAGCACTGTTTTTACGGTAGGCCATGCACCGTGGTCTCTGAAGCCATGCTCCTACTGATGGGCAGTCAGGCTTTTGTTTTGCAATACTTTGCTTTTTATAAATAACATTATAAAAACACATCAGTCTTTACACTTTCATCTGTTTATATCTTAGGGGGAAATCATTGAAGTATATTTTCTCAGTAAAGAGTTCTTTTTAAATTTATTTTGGTGGTACTAATGATGAAACCCAGGGCCTTACATATGCTAGGCAAGCACTCTTACCACTGAGCTGTGTCTCTAGCCCAGCAGCCCTTAGAAAATTTTGTTACATATTGTGATTCTCCTCCAGAGGGACAAGAATGCCCTTTTTCTTGCAACCTTGCTAATACTGGATATTCTCAGTTTGTTAAATTATTTGCCAATCTGAATCAACTAGAAGATCTTGCTTCTGATTTAATTACATATCATACCTTGTTGTTTTCTACATGGTTGTAATCTTATCAGCACAATAGCATCATCTTTGAATATGGTAGAGTAGAATATCATTTTGTTCATAAACTGAAAGAGTATAATTTCTTTAAACTAATATCTCATTCTGTTATGGTGAGAGGGGGATGGGAATTCTTGTTTAGAAACTTCAGAAATATAGTTTCTTCTTAGATCTACAGGCTCAGAATAAAACCCACATTTCTCTCTCCTTGCTCTAGCTCCCTGATATGCTAATCTTTCTGTTCTCTCACAGCAACTCAAAAATACAAAGGTAACATTTTTCAGCTTGCCATCAGATTTGAAGGAAATGTAAGCAGTTTATTGACACTAAAAATAAAATAGGAATATTTGGTTACAACTACTGACTTCTACATAAGCAGGACATAGTGAAGTTAACTATGTTGCAGAATTTATCATTCAGTAGATTTCTTTGCTCACAGTAATGAATATGATAATATAAGCAAGTCTTCAGGGACATGGAAATATAACTCTGTTATGTTATCATGCATTCTGACAATAATTTATTTTTAAGGGGAAAAGGTTTATTTAGCTCACAGTTAGTAGGGGTTTCAGTCTATAGTTGGCTTGCTTCAAGACAGCAAAAGCAACAAGGGGTCTTAATAGGGTCTTTCTGCCCCTGTTATTTTATCCAGACTACTTAAGGTGGGCACCACTCACCCTTAATCCTAGTGCTCTTGACCTTAGCATTCCACCATGAATCAATTGCACACTCTAGATCCAGCCACCTCTGAAAAAAGCCCCACCTATGACCCCATGAGGCTCTGGGGGGACATCTAGACACAAGCCATAACATTCCACCCCTGGCCCCTAAAAGACTCATGCACATCTTTCTATACAGAAGGCTACAATAATTTATTTAAACCAACTTGCACAGCTGAAATCAAATAATACCTTAATGGTATTATTTAATAATAACAAGATAATTTAAAAATATTAATGGAATAATACTAGTAATGATAATAATTGCTATTTACTGAATGTTTATTATATAATAAACTCATTGTAAATATTAGCACACTGAATCCCCCAAATAACCCCATGAAGGTCTTATTGTCTCCATACAAATGAGTAAACTGAGGCTCAGAGAGGCTTATCTGGGATGGTACATTTCATAAGCAAAGATAAAGAAGCAAACTCTCATAACTAGGACTCCACTCTAGGGTGAGAATCAGGTGGGCACACAAATAACGGATTTACAAATATGTTCACCGCAATGTGCATATAAAATCTAAACTTTGGGGTTTATGCCTAACAGTAGAAAATGAACAAAATGAATGATAAGTCTACTACAGTGGACTCCCAAAATTCAAGGAGGTTATGTTACGAGAGCACCCACGAATTACGAAAAACCAAGAATTTCTGATATGGTCTGAAAAATGCCTATAAGTGCCTATTTTTATAGTTTAAACCCTAAATATGCTATATCTCCTGCAGTTATGTAATTTAATTTAATAATAAAATACAGTATTAAGAAAGCCTTAGAAATGGCAGGGTGTTTTAGTGGCATCTTGGGGATCTTAGAGCTTTAAGAAGAACAAAACCGAGAACACTGGCGATAGCTACAGGCAGCACAGCAATCTGTTATGATTGGGGGAAAGCTGGTGCATCTGCCCAGATAGGTTACAGGACAGTAGCCAATCAGCAGCAAGGAGAACTGAATAATGCTCTCGGATTGGCTATTTGCAGACCCCCCCCCACACACACACACAATTGAAAGGATATTTGTGGTTCTACGGAATTCCAGGGGTTTCTGAGAACAATTGCTAGTTAGGTTCTAAGGAAAAATCCAGGAACAACTGAAGCTAAGAACCCTGAACTGTGACTTCTCAGGGCTATACTGTATTTTTAAAACTGTGTAGACAAGAAAGGCCATATTTCTGACAAATATTTACTGGCCACAACATGAAGTTAAATGGGAAAAAAGCAGATGCAGATAAATAGGAAAGGATGCTGAGAGGCCCAGGGCAGACAGTTTCTTTATGCTTCTGGTGTATGTAGTAGTTATTTCTGCATGGTGCAATAAAAGACAACGTTTACCTTCTGCAGATATCACATTTTAATTTTTAGTTCATGTATTAGTTTCCTATGGCTGCTCTAACAAAATACTGCTACAGTGTGATTTAGGCAGCCAAAATTCATTCTCTCACAGTTCTTGAGGTCAGAATCCTGGAACCAGTTTCATTAAACTGAACTCAAGTTTTCGGCAGCACTCTGACCTTTAGAGGCTTTCCAAGGAAATCCACTCCTTGCTTTTCCCCATCTGTGCTTCAGCTTGTGGCCAGGTCACTCCGATCTCTGCCTGTGGGCTCACGCTGCTGTCTGTTCTGCTCGCTGTTTCAAATCTCCCTCTGTGTTCCTCTTACAAGGTTACCTATGACTGTGTTTGGAGCTAAACCAGATAACCCAAAATAATCCTCCCACTCAGGGTCCTTAACTCAATCACTCACACAAAAACCTTCTCTCCAAATAAAGTATCACTTAGGTGTCCCATGGATTAGTATCTGATATCTTTGGGAGCAGTTATTCAGCCTACTGTGTTATACTTTATTTTTATCAGACAAAAAGCAACATTCGTTTTAGGAAAAATTCAACTTGGTTCAGATTGATCCAGCTAAAAGTATTACATCCAAAGTAGGAGAAAGTTGTTGATTTGGAGTTTTTAGTGAAAGCAGTTTAATTATATACTGGATTTGTATTGAAATGATTTATTTATGCATCCAGCTCCCTTATTAAGTTGGAAGCTTTCTGAAGACAGGAACTGTGGTGTTTTTACTCATTATTGTGGTTTTTTTCCCTGCTCTCCAGCTGCTGGGAAGTGTTGTACTGTTACTTGGTAAATTGTTGTTTTGCTGGCAGGTGTGTGGACCCTGGAACAGCTTCTGAAATGTTGCTTGAGACTAAGAGCTAGCACTGGCTACAGGCAAAGGCAGATGGGCTGTGAGCTCAAGGTGGCACAAGGAGAATGGGCAGTAGCCAACTGCCTTGGACTAGCAGGGTCTCTCCTGCCTTAAACACTGAAAGTTCAGGGTTGGGCAAACCCAGATGATTGGTCACCTAACCAGGAGCCCAAATCAGAGGGGGCTCAGCAAGGTTGGTTGGTGTTCATCACAATGGGCAGCGATCCTAAGTCCAGTCCTGGAAATGTGTCCCATATGCAGCTGTCTGACATTTTTAAGGACAAAGTGAAATATTTCCATTCAACAAATGTGTATTGGGCACCTACTATGTATACCTGGTAACAGACTTCCAGAAGCTAGAGAATTCATCCCAAGGAAGACAGATGCAATCCTTGCTTTAGGGAAGTTTATCTTTTATGGAGGAGAGAGATAATAAACAGCTATAAGGCACTGATCTACAGTGAGAACTGTTGTTAAATACTGTGAAGAAAAATAACACAGTATTGGTGGGGACAGCTATTTTAGGTAGGATGATCAGAGAGCTCTGTTTGAGGTGACATCTGAACAGAGACAAGAAGGAAATGAGGGGATGGCTTATGTAGATATCTGGGGGAAGAAGTTACCAAGAAGCAGCAGTAAGTGAAAAGACCCTGGTGGGGATGTCAGAAATGAGCCCCTAGACTCATTTGGTCGGGGTAGATAATAAAGTACTCAGATGTCAAGAAATTTCGGCAAGACTTTTACTTTTGCAGAAGGGTGCAATGAGGCAGAGGGCATCTAGAGCGGCCAGAAAGTGAGGTTTTAAGCCCTGATGCATAGGAAACAGCTATCCTTTAAATTCACTGGCTGAATTCAAAGGCTTACAATCTTTTGCAGTTGGCTAGTTTAAGCAATGTGAGAGGAGGATCTGAAGGAAAGGAGGGGAAAGAAGAGCAGGAGGGGAGAGGGTGTGAGGAACAGAAAGTCCTGGCTATTGGGAAGCTAGCTTTGTTAAGGGGTGGGAGAGGGCAGCCTAGGGTGGACTAGAGTCTAGGATAAAGGTGCTCCAGTTTATATGCTTTGATAGAAAAGACAGGGCTGTAGTTTCTCACAGGGGCATGCCAAGCAGAGGGGAGCATGAGGAAGCCAGTGTAGCCAGCATGGAGGAAGCAAAGCAGAGGTGATGGGGAGAAGGAGTGGAGGAAATCACAGGTGGCCAGATCTCCCAGCAGCACTTGCTCCCACCGTGTGCCAAAGACACTGTGTGCCAAAGACACAGGCTGGGACACCTGTGACTGGAACACTGCTGGTCCTGCCCCTCTCCCCACACCTGCCTTGGAAAAGAGACCTTAAGATTCCCTGGAACAGAGTTTTGACTGCCCTTTAAAATGACGGGCTTCTGTGTACCATTTAACTTTAATTGAATAAAAAAGGCAATAAGGGCCAGAGATTTAGCCCAGTGGTTCTGCCGCCTGCTTCACAAGCTCAAGGACCCAAGTTCGATCCCTGGTACCAAAAAAAAAAAAAAA